ATAATTCCATAACTTCTTCTTCTTCTTCTTGTTCTATTTCTATAGCACCTTGAATAAAATCATCATCGGTAAATTGTTGATGTATCTCTTGTTCATCTTCAGAATTTATCCAGTTTTTAATTGGTATTGAGGTATGAACACATAATAAATCCATTTGTTTTTGGAGTTCTTTGATAATTAATTCTTCAGTTAAGTTTTCTTTTGTATTTTTAATATCGTTAACATTAATAGGAACAGTAATAGGTATTCCAGTTTCATTACGAAGTAATATAATTTTTGTATGAATCCAACAATTTTGAATCGTTTTAGCAGATATTTCATTCCAAGCAATTTTTGTCCACCTCATGCCTTGTAACTGATCAACTTTATAAATATTTTTTTCTCCAGCTTCATCACGATCAATTGCATTTTGAAGTTGCATACGACGATAATAGAGTTTAAATGATGCAATAATGCCGGCATCCATAGGTTGTATTTTTGATGTTGTGTTTGGTGGCAATAAAAGAATTTCTATATTAGTTAAGATAAGAGAACCGATAATATGTGAAGGAGCATTATCAAGAATAAGAAGAATATGGCGATTTGATTCTTTCATTTGTTGATTAAATTTTTTTATCCATTCCTGAAAATATATAGCAGTCATCCATGCTTTTTTATTACTACGATAATAAAATCCAAGTTCTTCTCCTGATTTTTTTTTAAAACATCTTGGTTTTTTTGCATGTCCAATAAAAAAGGGTTGAAGTTTATGAGTACCATCTGCATTAGCTGTAAATGCAATTGTAATTCTTATTTTGTCTTTTTTTGATCCTTCAATTTGGCGAGATGCAATTGTACGATCAGGTGCCATAGAATAAAACAAGCTTGTTTCATCCATATTATAAATATCATATAAGGGATATTTGTTGGTAATACGAATAATTTCAGGAAGACTTGAGTTAATAGCTTCAATATCTGCAGAACCACTTTCACCATGTGATTTAAAATTATGAAAATTATGTCGTTCTTGAAAAGAATACAACCAACCGTTTGAAAACTCAAGTTGATTATCTTCAGATATATTTAATAATTCCACAAACTTTTTGCCCTTAGCTTTAATTATATCGCCATTTAAATGTACACCTCTATGTTCGCATTGTAAGATCCAATTTGCCAAAGCAGTATCCAATTCAGGAAACATAATAGTACGCCGTTTTTTAATTATAAGATCATTTGATGACATTTTTTGAAACTCTTCTTTTTTTTTTAAAATATCGGAAATTGTACTTTGACCTGGAGCTTTTGCAAGTTTAAATTCTTTTTTGGCCCATTCAGCAAGTTCTTTCTGAGTAAGTAATGGATTTATTTGATAATGTTCACATATTGCTTTTCTTTGTTCATTACGTAAATTGCCAGTTGAAGCATTTGAAATTTTTTTAATCTTCATTAAAACACTAATGAATTATAATAAATTAATGGTTATTATATATTGTAATAAAAAATTATTAAAAATATTACATACCTTGTATTTATAATAAGTGACAAGAAATTTCTATTTAGTAATAAGAATTATTTTTATCTTAACATAAAGAATATTGAAAAAATTTTAATTGGTTTTTAAAAAATTAACCAATTACATGTTTTAAATATCACATGATATAATTATTATTAAATTTTTAAAATCCGATAACCTTTTAAAACTGATATAAAATTTATCTACTATAAATATCAGTTTTGAAAG